CCCCAAAACCCCAAAACCCCAAAACCCCACATGAATTCTAGAGGTTGTAATATTTTTCTAAATATGGGTAAATTTGGGTACAATCTCTTGCTAAAGCTCTTAATAAATGCTAACATTTCCTAGAATCAAGCAGAGATTGTGATGCTAACAGTAATTAATGGTTAATTTGGGGGTTCTGTGCCAAGAAACTCATCAGCTTGCATATAGTATACCTGCTGACCCTTGGTATGATGAGTGTAGGCAAGACAAGTCTTATCAACAGGTAAATTGACTCTTATTGTTCAGATATGCCAATTCAGAGTTCAAAGAAATAATGCAAAGTACTACAGGGATCTGCAATGTAGAGACCATCAGATCTATTGATGGATCTCAACTAGGCTCATCGAAACCTGTCACAATTCTAGCTAAACTTTGGGACACAGTCGGGCAAGAGAAATTCGATTCTATCCCTAAACGCTATTATAAAGGTGTTGATGGGATTCTCCTAGTGTATGATATTACTGATTCAAGTAAGCAAATTTGGTCAAATTTCTGAATCCAATATCTTAATAATTTTCTGGGTGATTAAATAACTGACTGTATAGCTACATTTGACAAGATAAATTATTGGATGAAGCAGATAGCCCAGAACGTGTCCTCAATCCCGATCATAATGGTTGGGAACAAAACAGATATTGAATCCTTACGAGCCATGGAGTACCAGGAAGGAAAATAACAAGGCAACTGAGTTAGGTAAGATCGTCTTAACCCCTAGGACTTGAGTTTTATGAGGTAAGCTTATCCTGCCCCTCAGGGCCATCAATATCTCTGTAAATACCCTTTAAGGTCAGTGCAAAGTCAGGTGAAGGGGTTAATGAAGCATTTGATCAATTGATCATCAGAGCTCTCCAAAACTCACCACAAAAACTTAATCCAAGTACGTGATAGAAGCACATTCTGTAGAAGCCAAGAAGAATAGCAGGAAAAATAAAGTTGTCCTCAAGAGTAAGAAAAAAAAGAATGAAAAGAAGGCAAAATGAAAGTGATAAATTTCAATTTAAAGATGGTAAAAGGGGTTTTGGGGTTTTGGGGTTTTGGGGTTTTGGGG